TTATTCGCACTCACAACCACATCTTGTTTTCTAAATGATTCCGAGTTTAACAGCAATGGTAACCTGTTCAGGATCCTGATGTAATTCTGTTTGGAATCCTGCCAGTATCTTGACATTTCGTGGCTACACACTACTTTCAGCATTTAGTCTTTTCCTCAGAAAAAGAGAATGAATTCTTGGAGGTTCCTGATTGGATCCTTTAGGGATCTGAAACGGACTGACCAAACGTTTTCACTAAATTCGTAATATTTGATCTCTATCAGGATTCGGAACTTCTTACAGACAAATGCAGTGGCTCCGTTAAAATCTTGCAGGACTTGTTCTAAATAGAAATTTACTAAGTTCTTATTGATGTTATTGTGGCATTCGCTTGATAAAAACCAATTTTTTCCCAAAGAAAATTTTTTTTAATTATCAAAATAGGGTATTCATTTTAATTTGATTATTTCAATATTTTTTCATTGAATAGCTATTTTTAGTGTAGTAAATTGCAGATTACATCGGTTTCTAGCTTCTTTTCTGCTTGAGAAAAATTATAAGAATATTTTTGAAACGGAATGGAAATTTATACTAATTAAATAGTGAGATTTTTTTCTCAATTGGAGAAATATTTGAAAAGATATTATATTTTTACAATCTTTTTGAGAAAATTTCAATCTCTTATAAAACTGAAACAGAAGTTTAAATTTAAGTCACGATTTAAAATATTGAACGTTGAAGTTACATACAAAAACATGACACAATTCAGCCGGGTAAGTACTCGCAACGTAGTTTAGTAAAGGATATCTCGTGAATTTTCAAGAATTTTCGTGTATCGGTTTTCACTTCGATATACTCGATGTTCAATGGAGTAAAGCATTTATGTAGAGTTTTCATTGCGAGTGTGACTGTGGCTGTGGCTGTGCCTGTAAGTATAAATGTGGATGTCGGGTGGAGTTTTGGTGTCGGTGCGTGGGTCTTCAATTCACTTAGCTACACCTATTCACACTCACTCGTACACACAACCAACTCGATAAGAAAATCGTTATCTTGTGAAAAAATCCTATTCTAGTTGAATAGTTAAGTAGAAAGGTTCGACGACGTATCAATGGGTTCAGTTTTCTCGACCCTGATTACCTTTCGTGGAAATTCACTCGTCAGACTCAGGTAAAGTCGAAGTCGAATTTGAGTGAAATGCAATCAAACTGAAATGCAAACCCAGTCAATTCCAAAGAAAGAATCGAATTGTAATTCGACTCGAATAGATTTGTGCATACCCAGTAAAATAGTGTTTTGAGAATTTCATTGAAAATTCTGAATCTTCAAGGGATGATATTTTCTTATTTAGGAATCTTCCAAATCTTTATTGCTAAGGTTATTTTGTGCACGACCTTATATTAGCTAAATCGAGTTTTCTTTCCAATTCGATTGAAAAGCGATTTAATGGCTCACATGCCAAATTTTTTACTCATGCAGGTGTGTAAAGGTAAGTATAGTGGAAAAGCGAAAATTGATCGAACGGAAAATAGTCGAGATATTCCTAATTAAAAAAAGAAAAGCTTCGAATGCGACGAATCAGTCAAAGCATTACAAGAAGAAAACGGAAGATACCATTAGCAAACTGTCAATCACTACAAAGGAGCTTTATTTGTCTAATACATGTAGCATATGAACTAGAATTACTTTTCAGAATTAAAATTGTTTAATTCATGTATTTTCATGAAATTATATCAAGATTAATTCTGATAAAGCTATGGAACTAAGAAAAAAGCATTATGAGAGTGTGGCATGATTGCTAGTTTTGGTGCGAGCACAGGTGAAGGTACGGGTGCAGGTATGAGTGTCAGACCTGATGTAAGTCATAGTGTGTGGTGGGATTCAAGAGAACTCATTCCAATACCTGCACCCATTTTTTATTTTCATTTTTTATTTTGCTTAAAACCAACCGTTCTGGAGAAAGGTTGGGGTCCACTATTTTTGTACAGAATACTGCGACAAATATTTTAACCCTAACCCGTCAACCTATAAAATGCTCAAATTCTAACAATCTCTCTCGATTGTTCCCTGATTATAAGGATTACGTTTTTTTTGCTTCAATTTATATTATACTGAAGAACAATGGTATGTACTATCAATATGAACTGTTTTCATCTGGAATCTGTATGGATCTCAGATTGACGGGTCAGGGTTAAGTACCACCCACACCCTATATACTAATATTAATTTATTTTTCACACTTTTGTCGCTTTTGTTAAAAAAATCTCCTTTCGTTTTTTTAATTAATTTCTCGACTATTTTTCGCGTCGACCAATTTTCGTAGACCTAAGTATAGGTATCGTCGTGTTATTTGTAGAGCAAATAGGGGTTGTAATTACTTAATCACTTACATGTTCGCTCGCATCGATATCTTCACGTTTTTAAGAGATTTCTAATCAAATTTACTTGTGTTTGTGTTGCGACGCAAATGAACCGATTTTCTCGGCGACTGTCATATATATATAGGGTAGAGATCGTCCGTAAATGAATAGTTCGTCTGCTATGTTTGTCTTGTTGACTCATTGACTCTTTGGAACTTTTAAATCCATAGTTATTTTCCACAGACTGTTAATTATGTTTTGTAGAAAGACCCTTCGCAGCGAAAGCTGATCTTGCTAGACATGGTTCGTACGTTTTAGTAACGTACATCTGTTTCAGGTGTGCCTATGTAGAAACAGGTATTCCAATGAAAATTTACTGATGATTTTAAAGACATATTATTGTTGGATGATGCTGTGAGATGTTGTTTAAGTTTCACATTACTTTGATGAAGCTGTTGCTTTAGATTCTTTTACCATTAGCAGTAGAGATTATTAATACAAACTGAATCAAATGATGATATATATTTACATAGATATATATATACATCAACGCGAACGTCAGAATTCATTTCATTCAGAAGATTTGGAAGAAATTTTGAATCGAATTGTAATATATATTTTTATGATGCGTTTCTTGTCTGTTTATGATTAGTTTCATCGGTCTACCATGTAATCATTTATTCTGAAAAATGATTTATTGAATTTTTGGACTTTGGCAGTCGAGAAAATAGAGTCTTATTTATTATCTGTCTTAGTCAATATCGTCAGTATTTTGTAGGGTGTGGTGTATGACTGATGTGGGGGTGAGGCTTTTGTTCAATCATGTCCACATCAACATCGATAAGCGTTAAAATCATAGTTTTCCCCTTTATTTCTACGTGTGATATGTTTACACCAGTGAAATACAAAAAAGTTCTAAGAAAGGAATCTCTAATTTCGACAAGAACAGAGGATTTGTCAGTTGAACGCTATAATGACATTATGTGGTGAAAAGAACAAACTGCAAAACACATTCTGTCGTCGTATTTGGCTGCTGGATCTGAACTCTTCCACCGACTCGAAAATGGCTGGATCCGCGCCTCGTCACCAAAGCGGAAACGGAGACAGGAAGCCTTGCGGGAGTACTGCTGTTGGAATTTTTCGGAAATCCATGGGATCCCGCCGTTTTGCCGCCGTACATCTTTAATATAGGGTGCGAATCAGTCAACATTTTGCAAGTAAAGTAGAGCGAAGCATACATTTTTGTCAACAGTTTTAATATTCCTAATAAAAATCTGTAAATAATAATGGATTATGGCAAGTATACTCCTTTGATATAATTAATCTGTTAAATTGAACTCAACTTGTAAGTCCTAATGGCACGGATGAAGTCTGACTGCGAAAATCTGGTTCGATTTTGACACCGACTGATGGTTTCTTTTTAGGAACAAAGTAAACGCATCTATTCCATGACCACATTGAAATGTAGCCAAGCCAGAAAACACTTTCAAACGCTCAAAAACGTTCATTTTGGACGCGTTCAAATATTTCAATTTATATTACATAGAAGCACTAAGGGACACGCTAAAAGTCTAAAAATGGTTATATGGAAGTAAAAAGAATATCGTCGAACTATTGTGAATTCTAGAAAAACAGATAGCAGTTTCTTACAGAATCTGCTACTTGGATCCCTAATCAAAGCTTTAATCAATTAGTATGATTCTGGATTACGATAGAGAAATACAGAAAACAGAGAATAATCATTACCAAGCGAAAACTTCACGAAAAATGGTCGAAATTAGCCGTCTTGAGATTCGTTACAAAGAATCATTCAAAGAGGGGTACTTACTAAAACAGTAGAAAAACTCACACGCCTACCCAACAGAATTAAAAAAAAATAACTTTCTTTGTTTCTAGTTACCTGCTTTCAAGTCTGGTAACATGACACCAAGCCTTTCCTCCGATGGCAGTAGCATTTTAATGAAGGAACATTTCTCTGGGCTCATGATTATAATTTCGTCTGCACAGTCTCCTTGGTTAACTCTCTATCTGCACCGACTGCACTAACTCCTTTACTACACATTCAGTTGCATTTCGATCAGCTATGGATCCCGACGCATTTCTGGAATTCGAAACGTTGACAGATGCACTCAATGAGACGCGCTGTATCGATTGCTTCAGTTGACCATCGTTTAATATATAATAGATTGTTTCGTTTAATCAGTAAACATAATCCGACACATGAAACGACATGAATGTGACCCCAAGCGTTTTAAAACAAAAAAATTAAATACATTTGTATATGTTTAGTTTAATTGATGTCCGACAACTTTTCACGTTCTCTGAACGTGTTCAAGAAACACAACAGTAGATGCATCTAACGGCATTTCAGACATGCATCGATACGAAGAAGCGTTAGAGCGCCAAAATTTGCAACAAAAATGCATCTTGCTGCATCTACATACATTTGGTGCTTACATACGACCTTGAATAAAATTTGTGGCTCAGTATTTGTTCTCATATCAGTATTAACTATCCCTAAATTGATAAGCTTATCTATCAAAATTCATTATAAGACTAAATCAATCGAAGTATATTTATTCATAATGCTGAGTCTTTTAACTAAGCTGAATCGAATTTATTTTTGTTATTTAAATAGCAGGTAGAAATCGGATGAAAAAAAAATTATTTGATATGAACTTTTGATGGCTGCGCAATAAAAAATGCACAGAATGATGTCCATGGCATAAAATTCGATTTTAATGGATTGGCGATAAGTGAACCCATATTGTCCCTATTAGTTACAGGTCCCGCTAGAAGAAAAAGCGAAAAAAGTATATTGATTGCATTTTGATCTCCATGCAATATCGCTTACGTCCTGGTTTGTGAGACCAATAGCCATTTGCATCCTACCAAAGGAAAAGTTATAAATAAGATGTATTAAAAACAGCTCAAACCTTTCTTATCCAGTGATAATCTCGGTTCGGCCAAATGAATAGGGCAACATAGTGACCACTTTTCGGTTGACCAAGTGGAAGTGTTGTACCTTTGAAAATCAAGCCGTCGTGAATAGACGCATTTCTCAAAGATTCACATGCAATTGATGATGGAGTCTTTCCACTATAGCGTCCTACGTATTTAAGAGCGACTTGTGTTTGAATAGCAAAACTAACTGTGTGTTTCTTTTACCTGGTTGAGGAAAAGTGTTTGTGACGATATCGGTACCTTGAACGAAACAATACAATGAACAAAAAAGTTTCCAGCAAAAAAGATTATTAAAGAGATGCAAGTTACAACTATAGTAATTCTCATCAATGAGATTCTTCTTGTTCACCTAATTGTTTATTGAAAAAGCAATTGTCTATTTCAATTACCGTATGCGTAGCAATTGTTCTTGGATTGCTTCGTTATAAAACAACCGCCGTTATCTGTTTGTGGATTAAATACTGGTACACTGTCTGGACCTTTAATAGGAACACGATCACAATTGAAACGAGTCAAACTTCTATAATGCGTCATAACGATTGATTCTCCAATATGTTCAGTAACATGGCGAATAATAGCTGGTGAAAGATATGGTCGACCACTGTCTAACAATTCCTTTTCAATAGGAATTACACCATGAACAAAAATTTCGTTGTTAATGGAACAAGTGATAGAAAAACCCTGATAACCCATGATTCTTGTAGTTGATTTTATTGTAGATGTATGGTTATCATAGTCTTTGACCATTTTACTTGCTATAGTTTTCATGTTAACTATTTGCGTTGTGGTTATCTGCCAAGTTGGATTTAGCTGAGACGAAAAAATATAAAGTGTAACCAATGGTTGGTCACAATGTAAATTTAGCAGCTCGTTTAAGTTTTTCTTTGTCAACTGTCCATCGATTATCAATGAAAGTGACAGAAGAAGACTGAGCGACCAGCAATAAGTGAATTTCATCTAGAAAGAAAAAGAATTCTGAGTTTAATAAATTTTTCTGTAAAAAATATGAGCAACTTAACACTAGAAAAACGTATGTAGAAGTCATAGGTAACCAATATCTATGAATGTGACAATATCTGAATCTAAAGTGTGTTGTATCAAAGAGAGAATATCTCATATAACAATGATGAAGCTACCGATTGTTTCAGTAAACTTTAAATGGTTTCAAAAATACGGTACACAATAAAACCTATAAAATAATTCTATCGTACTGAAATTATCATTTTATATTGCATTGCTAGGTTGGCGATGATTGAAAACGATGTGTTCTATAGAGTAGTTTTCCATATTTATCACTTGATCAATGTAATAAAAAGAACGGACTGGTAAAATTTATATTGGTTAATAATCAGAGTATTTTTTCAGACATTCTTTTTAATTTCAAGCATCATAATTACAGGTATACTAAAGAAAACACAATGATCGTTTTCCTATTGTTGGTTGCTAATAAGAACTTCTGTTCAGAAAAATCTATTAACAAGATACAGACCCTCTCATTCATTCATCGCCCAAAATATGAAACAAAATTTGGCAGTTAGAGTTTTATATTTACAATAACAGTTTTATATCTTCAACAAAAGAAACTTTTTTCATAATTTTTTTCATATTTTCTATTCGAATACCAATATTTAACCAGCCAATCTGAAAAATGTCATCAGAAAGATTTTCTGACTTTGATGATGCACTAATGAAATTTTATTATAACTTCTCATGATTTTGCATCTATACAAATTGAAAACGTCTGTAACCAGTCTTTCCTAAATGTTCTATGTAACATTTTCAAGTGAATCTCTAAAACGCGACTAGTATCTAAAATGAAAACTTCTATATGGAATTTTAACAAGAATTATGATTTATACACGATCTTAGACAATAATTTACGAACACTCAGATACTCTTGGTATATTAAATCATTCTTTCTTTGAAATTTCGGTAAATTCACCTACAGAGATAGATGCAAATTAGATTATCTTAGATTTTTGTCATTAATGCGAATGAATAATAAGTAGAATAATGATTGGAATAATATCAAAGATAATTGTCTCTCTCCAACTTGATATCTAGCAGAGATAGCGAAGAAAATAAATTTTTCCATATTTCTTAGTTTATGGGATTCTAACTTGTTTTGTGGAACTCACATATGTTTTCGAAGAAAATAGTGAGTGTAAGTTTTAAGTTCGAGTTTTTGCGCCCCCCCCCCTCCCCTTACAGACAGACTACCATTACAGACCATAGCAACGAAAGAGAACATTACAGACATACCCCCCATTACAGACTCTAGCAACTGCCCATAACAAACTTCAAATGTACTTATTTATAAAAAACATTGCATGACATAAGAATATATAAGTTCGACTGATGAACACTGTTTAAATGATTTCATCATTGTTTAATAAGCTATAGAAAAATTGTTAATGTTTTATAAAGTGTAGTTGTCGGCTTTTTTTAAAGCAATACTTGTATGTCAAATATTAACAGTGAATAGTATTCACTGAATACTAATTATATATTGCTCTATAATAACTATCATTTTAATAATAACCATTTAATCAATTCGAAAAAAGACCATATTATCATTTATGACTTCATTCAAATACTTCAGAGAGTATTAAGCGTAATCGATGTCATATTTAGTATATCATTGCAACCATCTGATTCTCGAGATAATTAAATGTTATTTAAAAAAGAAAATAAAAAAATCTCAAATAAAAAAAAATAAAAAAGAATAACTTAGAGGGAGTCTATAGCAACTATAATAAATAAAAGTAGGCGCGCTCAAACGAAAAGCAAAACAATTCTGTTCTTAATCTAGAAATACATATTCAACAACGGATGTTGTCACCAACTGTTGTTGAATATAATTACAGCTTAGGCGAAGAGTTTCATGTTATACATGATGCATTACTTCAGAAAGACACAAGAGTATACGTGAGTTCCACATTTTAGCTCCGGAGGAGCTGCGCTAACAAGCTTTTTTTCCACCATCGACTATTTGATGAATACGGTTGTTGCAGTCTGTAATGGGGGGGGGGGCATGTGTATGTAATGTTCTCTTTCGTTGCTATGGTCTGTAAGGAGAGAGGGAGGGGGGGGGAGCCGCAAAACCTCGAACTTAAAACTTACACTCACAATTTTCTTCGATAATATACGTGAGTTCCACAAAATGTTAATTCTATAGGCCTCGGACGAATTGGGCCTTCTATCAGCCGTCAAAGCCAAGAATCAAGGAAGCACGTAGAAATTTTTTCAAATTTGAAGAATAGAGATCGAACCATCATATTTACTCTTTAGTTAGTGTAGATAATTTCTGATGTTCCTTCCTGCATCCATGTGCCTATGCGTGTTTTTCTTTTCGATCGAAAATAATCCTCTTATGCGGAAATTACATATATTTTCGAAGAAAACAATGAGCCGAATTTTTGACGGTTCGACCTCCCCTCCGCATTACAGATCTTAATACTCCCCCTAAAAGAAAAGAAATTTTCTGCTTGAAATACTGAAATAAATAAGAGAAATCTCTCCTGCTACGATCGAGTGTCTTGAGGAACAATGATAATCTACGATGGATTTTTCACATTATGCATTTTATGTTAGTTTAATTAAGGTGAAGACTCCATCCACACTTCAAATTCTTAAAGTAAGGTATTAATTTTACTTCATTTATCCTTAGTCTCAATGCCGTTCATTTCTTGAGAAACCATGGAAAGATCTTGTCAAATTTTATTCAGGATTCTATCTCGATTCCTAGTAATTTCTGTTTGAAGGGTTTCTCACGGTTAAATAGGATTCTTTTCCGAATCTGTTCAAGTTTCTGCCCAGATTTCTTTTTTCTTTTTTTATGATGCGCGTAAATATAACACTTGGAAGTGTCTACGTGATACTATAAGGAGAAATTGTGATATTAAAACATTAGACACAACATAAATGGGATGAAATTTATAGTCGTCATCAATGTCATTATACAGACTATTGAACCTGCTCATGTGGCTGTAAAAGAGTCAACACAAAGATATAAAGAAGCAAGCAAAAGAACTCATAAAAAAGTTTCAGAATTTGAGAAGAAACAAGTAAACAAAAGAAAAAAAGAAGCGAGGAAGAACACTCATAAGTGTTTCAAGGACAGAAAATAAGCTAAAAGGAAGAAGTAAAGAAAGGCAAAAGGGAGAAGCTAAAAGAAGAAATGATGAAGGAGGAAGGGTTCTGCATGCTCTTTTTTTTTGTATACGAGTACTTTATTTCCATAAATGATATCCATTCTAAGCGAAACAATTCATGCTTTTCGATCGATTACCGTGAACGATTACTGCAAAAAACTTGGCCAAGGTCATCGTTGTGTGTGAGTGAGGGGTGGTGTGTGTGATTGTAAGGAATCCTATGCCTGTTGTCGAATGACAGTTTTCTCGACAAACTTATCGGCAGAATACTTTGTCGAAATTAAATTATTTTCTTCTCCTCATTGTAGTTACTGCCAGGACAAAAGAACGGGGGCGCATAAGGGTCATTTTTGTGCTTTCGTCAGTTTCAGTCGGTTCATAGTTTACTAGATGCAGAATTTTATGAGGAATCGTTTGGTAACAAAATAAAGCTACTTCTGATGAGTTTAGACACACTTTTGCCCAAAATACTGATATTCACTCCTATACCATAAATATATAATGCATATATAGAAGGATCAGACATGTATATTTTTCCCAAATAAGATATTCCAAATCAAAAATTAGTTCAAATAACTACCCATCTCATAGCCTATCTCTGTTAAAAATTTCAAGCCGAACGGTTAAAGTGTTGCTGAGTAATGGCGTAAAAATTGTTCGAAATCAGCAAAAAAATCAAATAGTTCTCTTATCATTTCTATTCAGTATTTCTACAATATCTCGAGAAAGAAAAAAAACAACATGGAATTTTGATTGATTCTGAAAGTTCAAAGAAAGGGCTACAAAATGATATACTTTTGGATTTTCTTAGAGGTGAACTTTGTTAAACAAGACAATGTGACTTTTGTTTAGACAACATTTCTTGCATTTTTTGACCCGTATTTAACAGATTTCGATACAAAAAAATTGGACTTCAGTCAAAACCAAGAACATATTTGGAATCAGCACAAAAAACTAAGTCGATCTATATGTGCTTCAAAAATTTTTGTCGTACTTCTTTTTCTCGAAAAATTCAGCTGAGATTCCCCTCAGGACACATCCATGTGAAACTTTTTGCCTTTGTAAGCTATTTGCAAGCAGCTTAAAAATGCTTATGCTTCTATAAGCTGCTGTAAAGCGCTTAAATATTCTCGTCTTAAGCTGCTAAAAACCGCTTCACTCAAATAAGCTGCTTATTTTAGCTTAGAAAACGGTTTCACTAAGCGCTTTCTAGCACTTACCATAAAAATCGCTGAAAAGTGCTTTAAATTTTGTTATTTCTTAGCACTGTACAGCACTTACACGGAAAATCGCTGAAAAGTGCTGTGTCTTTTCTTGTATTTAAGTATTTCTCAGGACTTACAGTGAACAGCACTGCTCAGTCAGACAAGACTCTTGAAAAAACACGTAAAAGGGTGAGGGTGTGATCGGAAGTGTATATGGATGTGGGTGTATGTATATGAGTTGGTATGGGTGGGTTAAGAGCGAGAGAACACCCACATTCACACCCTAAATGGACTCGTTATAGAGATGAATATTATGAGTAGTATGTATTAGAGTATATTTTAATATTAAGAAAGAAAGAGAGAAATAGTTGCATAACAAATAGAGCAAATGCAAATGAATTAGACCGAGTTTAACCTAATTGAAAAACATCCTTGACTAAGTTTGAAAAGTTATAGATGAATTTATGTTGAGATAACAACTCAGTTAAATTTTTTCCCTAGAGAGATTCGGTATNTCGGTTTTTGTGACCAATCTGTGGCAGGCGACTATTTTTTGAAAATTCAATATCTCAAGAAAGGAACATTCTTTTTAGCTGAAACTTTCAGGATATTCTAAGGACCATTAGGCCTATCTATGGGCGAAATATCAAGTCGAAATTCCTTATTTTGATTTTTTTCGTAAATATCCGGGAATGGGTCGAAAATTCAATAAAACGACCATAACTTTTGAAGGAAGAGCCATGGGGGAAAATCCTCTCAGTCCTTTGACTATCTCAATATACTCTATCAAATGGAATATAAATGAGTCAAAACGGAGGGTGTCACCTCTGGTGGTTCCCTCGTGAGTAATTGTGTATTAAGTTTTCAAAAACTCACCGAGTAATAATTTCTATGCATTCAATAGTTCAAAATAAACCGTCTTCGATGATCTCGCACACTTTTTGCACATCACAATCATAGTTTAAGTACCACTAATGACATAATACCTCAGGACAGATGTTGCAACCAGCAATACTTGAAGAAGACGAAAAGTGATAAGGAATCGAGCTACTTCTCGGTGACACTTGATAAATTCTTTTGGATATCAGTTGAAAAAAGGAGCCACCGGTAGAAAATTTTTTCATCGGTTTGAAGATGATCGTCTCTTTTCTCTCGATGTACCAATTGGCATGACCTACATTTTCCCCGCCAACCATTGTCATTGATGTCTATTTATAGACATTATTGACACTATAAACTCGATCATTTGATTTTACTGCTACCTTAGTGTTATTGAACAGAGTATCCAAAATAATCGCAACTCAAGAAGAGAGGTGAAGAAACCAAAATTGACTTAGACCATTTCATCTTAATGAGGTATAGTTTTGTCAAAAACTTATCAGTTCATGATATTCTGATTTCAAACAAACATATTTCGTCCGAATATGTTCAAACATAGACAAAACTGGATATGGCTTGTATTGAAAATATTCATACTCTTCTGTAATAAGCCCAAATATAATCTCACATTTCCTAACGAACAAAAAACTTTCTACGCTTGAATACTTAAATATACTTTTTTTCCAAAACTAATCTCATTTTAATAACTTTTCTTAAATGTTGAAAAGAGGACGAAATAACTTCGATGTGCCTTTTATATATAGAAATTCTGCGAAAGCCTTACTTTTACAAGTGACAATTCTAAACACGGTGATTGTGGTGTCTTGAACAAGATTCGACGAATCTGAAGTGCTATAGCCTATATTAAAATATATTGTTAGAAAACATGTTGAAGATCTTCCATCTGAAAGTATTCATGCAAGAGAATTGAAAAAAGAAAAAATGATGTGTATTGGTTTTGTCAAAAATCAACAAAAACTAAATAAGCGCTAGCTCGTTGAAGAAACATTCAAAGCAGTAGCTTTGATAAGCGTTTTAATATGCTGCAGTATGTGCATAAGTGTTTTGATCGGATATAACTTTATCGTCAAATATCTTGTAGAGTCTCCTCAACATATCAAACACATTTATTTAATAGTTGAAAAATTGTTGAAATGGCACAAAAAAGTTGTATCCTTATACGTATATCGTCTGAACTGGTTGAGCAAAAATACTGCAGGAACAGTTTTCTGTAGAAACTCTCCATAGTTAGAGATATATTTATATGCTTGTGTCAGGTATGTGCTCTTCCTTAACTACTGTCTCCTTGTAGATTGAAATGGTTCCCATGAATGATAACGTTAAATTGGTTAACAACTCGCGTCGTAAGAGCAGTGTTTTCGTTCACGCAAACGACAAGCCAAAATCAATTTCAAATGCGCAAAATGCAAGAAACGTTCAGAACAATACCATAGCTCGAATAAAAAATTACACGATTCGGCAGAATATGTATGACTTTTTCTTTTGATGTCAAATATCATCGTTGTTACTGTTTCCTAGAAAATATTGTCACTGGTCAATGTTAGAGTTTATACCCAAACCTATCTTTGTATTACCCATGATTATTAGTATAGTTACGATCATAGGTATGCTGATAGTTTGCTTTACCTCACCAAGAACACCAGGTATGTCCTTGTTGTTTTACATTCTTTGTACTCAATACGATAAAAATCCATAGTTGATTCGGCTCTGTTTTACCAACATTGCGAGTTTTGGTTAACATGATTAAAATTTTGATCATATTTTATATAGACATGTTCGAAGCAAATCATCAAGCGAGGACAGAATTATAAGCATTATAGCTGATTCAGCTCTCCATTTCAAATTAGAACTGACGAATGCGAATTAATCAAGATGATTATCACCAGTAGATTTGATACTTTTTCCATAAGTCGAATTCTTCTAAGGAACAAGGATAATAAGCTTCTCCAAGACGAAGATTATTGCATTGTCTATATTTTTTCCGGTAACCATACATTTCGTCCTTTTTTTTTTGTCCCTTACTATTCGTCCTTTTTTAATTCGTCCTAAATGATCTTTGTCCGATTTCATTTTGTCTCTTTACAATTCGTCCTAATTATCGCTTGTCCTATTACATTTCGTCCTGTTACATCTCGTTCGAAAAGCTAAGTGTTTATTTTTATCTTAATTATATGTAATAAAATTTATTTAAAATCACTCAAACTCCTATTTTCAAGTTCATTGCAATTCGGTTTAGATAATCATCAATGTTATGAATATTATACGATAGCGTGACTGTTTTTAAACGTGCATCAAGATCTGCATATAGTTTTCTCTTTTTTTGTGGAGGTGCACCAGCACGTAGTCGTTCAATATCAACCTCGAATCGAGATTGTTCGCGTAGAATACATTTAGTAAGTTTGACGATAGAGGGATGTTTAATCGATACTCGATTGTTGAATGCGTGATGCCATCCCTCTATTGAATTGTTTGATCTTGGTAAATCATGAATAACCCTTTCGTACATATTCCAAAGCTGCAAACTGAATTTTGGTTGACCACGTTTAATACCTAAATAAGGATTATGAATTATCAAAATCATCAAATAAATACATTTAAACAAACACAAACCTCGACCTAGCTTTTGTCCAACCCAAACTCGTTCAAAATAATCAAGTAATAGATAATCTTCTTCTTCAAAATCATCAACAATTACTGCATAGGCTTTAACCACATCCGAAACAGGCACAAAGGCAAGTGCCATTAGCTTCTTTACGTTCATTCGAAATTTATCATTGGTGGTGTATTTATTCTGAAAGCCTAAAGTTTGCAATTCTCGCCATAAGCATTGACCCATATGAAATAGACATCCTATTTTATAGAGGAAATAGCTTTTTGTAAACAAAAAAATCCTATGAAAAATTACCTATCGAATCAACATTTGGAAATTTTGTTTTGATTGACTTCAATGTTGCACTCTCATAATCTACTAAAATAGATTCGGGTTCAAAATCATGCTGCAACAGCAACTGATCGAAAAAATCATTGTAATCATCAGCAGCTTTGCCAATAAGCAGGACGTACACCAGTGGAATAATTTGAAGAAAAAACATGCCATGAACAGTAAATAATTGGTAGTGGCTTTTTGGACATATCTACATGAGCGAGATGTATATAGAAAAGAGTTAAAACGACATACATACACTGAAAGTACCATCCATAAACCAATGTTTACATTGCTTTAAAGTTGTTAAATTTTTATCACACGTAAATATCAGCATAGATTGATCTTCAAATAAGACGAAATTCTCTCCACGATCAGTTAGTTGAAATACAAACGGCAATTGACCATTTTCATCAAGTTGTACTGGTTGTCGTTGACGACGAATTGTTTGCATTAATGCATTGTTCGTTGGTAAGCCAGGAACTGCATTCAATGGAATACTACGTAATGCATCAAATAATATAATGCTGGTCGCTTCATCCGATGATGAACCACGGGCTTTAATTTCATGTTTCAATCGAATAACATGAACACGATCTGGATTAGGTGCATGACTATGCTCCGATGGTTCTTTGACAAACACTTCCATCAGAGTATTCGTATGACAACGACCTATAAAAATACATGAAAGGTAATCCAGACGTTATACTTAACTATTTTTTTCTTACTTCTACAATTTCGATCTTCACAACNTCGCTTCATCCGATGATGAACCACGGGCTTTAATTTCATGTTTCAATCGAATAACATGAACACGATCTGGATTAGGTGCATGACTATGCTCCGATGGTTCTTTGACAAACACTTCCATCAGAGTATTCGTATGACAACGACCTATAAAAATACATGAAAGGTAATCCAGACGTTATACTTAACTATTTTTTTCTTACTTCTACAATTTCGATCTTCACAACGAAATACACGTTTTTTCTCTGTCATACTATGCTGAGTGTATAAATAATCTGAATAGCATAACATCGGATTTCCTCGAGAACTTGTCAACACTTCAATTTGATTCATTATTTGACTATAACCTGAATTCTTTTCAAACAGTAATACGTAATTGTACAAATGAACAAATAACAAAGAAATAATATAGATTTATATATAGAATAGATAGAGGACATTTATCTATTTTCTATTCGTCTTTGAAAATCACAATGATTCATTAAATACAACGATAGCCATTCATTCACATATAATATTTTTTCAATTCCTATGAAAATTGACCTTCAAAAAATTACACGATAAAATATGTGAGAAAATAGTAAATTTGGACGAGATGTAAAAGGACAAAAAAATTGGGACATATAGTAACATGACCAAATGTAATAGGACAAACTTTTTTTAGGACGAATTCTACAAGGACAAAATGGAACAGGACAAAAAGTATTTAGGACGAAAAATTTCGGACGAATAGTAAGGGACGAACTGTCATATGCCGAAGTGAGCGACCACC